ATTTCCCCAACGTCCCGCTTATCGCCGTGACGCGCAACCCTGTCTTCCCGCGCTTCATCAAGATTATCGAGGTGAGCTGCCGCCGAGCCCTTGGTCCCAGGGCCGGGGCTCGGCTCCGCCTGCCCTACCTGGGCAGGAGCTGCCGCTGCCGCGATGTGCCGGGGTCGCGGGCAGGAGGTGCTCTGGGCAGGCTCTCAGAGCGGTCGGAGGCTGCTCAGCCCGGCGCTGCGGCCTCGGATCCCGGGGTGGTATCACCCGAGGCTGTGCGGGGGTCAACGGCTGACCCCGCCGCTGTTGGTTCCGCCGAGGGTTGGGCCGCTTTCTTTGCCTTGGCAGGTTCCTTGAACTGCAGAGCAAGGCAGCGGCGTGCGTGACCTCCACGGTCAGCCGCTGCTCGGCCTTTAGCTCCAGCTTTGTAACCAGGTCCTGTCGGGACAGGGGTTTCTTCTGGGCCTATTGAAGTTTCACGGTTATTGCGTCAGCAGCTCTGCTTCTAACAGAGAAGGTCGGCTATTCGCACACACTTTCTCGAAGTTCGCTGTCTTCTTTGTGTTCTCTGATGAAGGTTAACCAAACGTGTCCTTGTTTCGGCGCCGTGGGTTGGTGTCAGAGCACTGAGAGCACTGAGACCCGTGTTGGTGAAGGCAACAATCTGTGAGCTGCAAGAAAAAAGCAAGAATTCGGTGTAGAGCAGGACAGCTGCAGTGGGAAAGGGATGGGGATGGCAGTCACTATTTCAGAGTGTGAGCTTTCCCCTCTGCACCTATAAGGATTTTAAGAGCTATAAATTATATCGCTGATGTGTGACTTGAGCTTACAGGCCAGAAATACTTTTCTTTCTGAAATGAAACCCATTCTGGTTGTTCTGGAACAAGTACTTGTATTTTTGTATATATCTCTATTTTTATATATATATATATCGCCTCTCTGGTCTATTGCCAGTCTAATTTTGAAGTAAATGTAGTATGAAATAAACCAATATTTTCTTGTTCCTGTAGTATTATTTATCATAATGTTACTTTTACTATAGTATTTTTCTGCATGTCCAAATCTAATATGTACAGTTTCTAGATGTGTCAGGGAAAGGAGAAACATGCATTATTAAGAGCATGCATTCATATGAGATGTAGGTACAAAAACCATCAATTTCAATGCACAGGTCAACAATGTCTCACAGAATTGTTAAATGTTCTCCCTTTTTCTGTGAATTCATTGTGCTGCAATTTACCTGACAAGGTCAAGTCTCTACAGTGCCTGTAGAATTACTAATTTTCTTCCTATTAATGTCTCTGACACTGGTAAGCATATTTTTGCTAAACACTGTGCAAAATTAGAGTAGGCATGCTGAGATTAGAATAAGCCAACAGTGTTGGTATTACTCATGTTCTGTCAGAGCCATGCTGGTTGCTACCAAAGCAATGAGCAATGCCGCTTATGTCCATCACTTTAAAGAACACTCAGTGGTTGATAAGGTGACTTCATGCAACAGCAGAATTCACAAGGAGTTGTTTTCTTGGTCACTGAGGATTTGTCCTGCTGTGATTACAGTTCAGTGGTGCTGGGAGATCTACCAGGGAGAGGTGTGTGGCATCTAGAGAGCAGAAGGGAGTGAGAAAGTAAACCAGGAAGAAATAACTGGCTGAAATTCAAAGCAGGAACTCAGGCTCATGGGTGTAGGAGAGGAATTGAGCAGAGAAGGCTTTGGAGGAGAGGATTTTAACTAGAGTTTGTGGGCAGAAATCAGGCAACTGGCAAGGAAGGATGAACTAGCTCCCCATCAGGAGCAGAGAGCTAGGACGTTCACTTACAGAAGGGGGACAATGATAGCAACAAAAATGTACATGGTACTGTTCAAGTAACTCAGGTTTCTTGCTTGTAAGACTTGTACAGATTCTATCTGGTTCCTCCCTTAGCCTTTGAGCTTGTCTTGTCTTGACTGTGAAGCGACTTGTTCGAAATACTTAAATTTCATGTTTCTCTACCTTTTTTTCCACTTCTATATTACTGTTCTCTAGTGGAGACAAGACTAGAACAGTATGAGCTCCAACTTCCTAATTTAGTTATACGGTATCATCATACACCCTGGGAGTGCAAAGATTACAGAAAATCCACCTCTGATTGCCTACCTGATTGCATACCTGTTGTCCTAGGTGAAAAATAAGAAGCTGGTTGAACTGCTGAGGAGAAAAGTTCGTCTTGCCCAGCCTTATGCTGGTGTTTTTCTTAAAAAAGAAGACAAGTAAGTTGTTTCTCTTGATCTTTTTAAAAAATATAAAAATAAGCTCCAGGTTGCATTTACACTAAAAACTATCATCCTAAATACCCTGCCTTGGATAGCATTGCAGAAATTGTGGCTAGTCTTGGACCATCCTCTTGCTATGACTGTTTTTGTTGCCACCACCAGCACTGCCCGGAGCTGGAGTTTTGGTTTAGAAAAGGGTGTTCTTTGGGAAGCATATGAGCTGTGCAGATAATTGGGTGATTTGGAAGGGGGTTACATGGTGGTAGCAGTGGGAATTATGTGGTTTTGCCCCTAAGTCCAAGTTTAAAGTCCTGCAACCAGTGATTGTGTTTTTCTTTTTTAATCTGACCTGCTATCTCAAGTTTCTAAATATCTGCTCCAATTTTTTTTGCTCAATAGCAATGAATCTGATGTGGTGGAGGATCTGAATGAAATATACCAAATGGGAACTTTTGTCCAGATTCATGAAATGCAGGATCTTGGAGACAAGTTGCGAATGATAGTCATGGGACACCGAAGGTTGGTTGCCTGTACTTCACTGCATCTCACCAGACTTCTGTATTAACAGAGACATCCCTTATCAGTTTAACCACATACATGCATTTTTCTACACAACTTGTGTAGAACATGGGTTACCACGCCATATCCTGAGAGTGTCAGGATAGTCCACGTATTGTCACAGCTGTGGCAGGTTAGCTGCAAAACAAAAGAGACAGTGCATTTCATTGTCATATCAACTGTGATGTGATGCAAGCAAGCATTCAGTAAGGTGAAGTTTAGCAGTTACTTTGACAATTACAGCAAGGTTTAGTAATGGTGAAAAAAAAAATCTCTGGAACTAACTCAAGCCAGTGTTTTTGGTTAAAAAAAAAGTGGAGAGAGGGGCATCTAGAACTTTAATTATGTCTTGTCTACATAATTTTGCCCCAGAACTGAATTGAAAAAAATATGATTATTGCTGAAAATCTAGTCTTAGTCATTTATGTCAGATATTTTTAACTAAGTTAGGAAATTGTACTTTTAAAAGCATCAAATAAGTGATTTCCATTAGAAGGAAAAATACAAGGACAGAAACGTGGCAGAAGAGACAGATCCAGGGTGGATTTTGCTTTAAAAGTATGGCTTTTTTTCCTTCTCCTCACTTTTCTTTTGTTCTGGACAGCAAAGAATGAGCAGTCCTGTCAAAGCTGAATTTATCTGAGTTCACAAGTCAGCTCCTTTTCAAATGAAGTCTTAGACCTCCTACTGCATTATCAAAGCACAGCCATGTTTTGATTGCATTTTGGAAATAAGTTACTGGTTTGGGGTTACTTGGAATAGAAATGTTTCCCTGTAACTTGGAAGAGTTTGGTATTCCTAAGATAAAACTTGAGAATTGGTCTTTATATTTGATTGAGACATGGAGCACTGGTCAGTCACATCCATATGAACCACAGTGGATATCCGATTTAATGAGCATTTTATAGGGAAACATGTAGAAAAGGAAACCCCTGTATAAAAACCAAATTAATGAAACATGGTGTCTTGAAAACATGTGTCCTCTTCTTTCTAAATTTTAGCTTGTTCAAAATACAACTTAGACTCTCTCCTTTTCATGTTGAAGAACTGAAATGACATGTAATGGAGAGATTAACTGTTGCTGGTTTCTTTTGGCTTTCAGGATTCGCATAAACAAGCAACTAGAGGTTGAACCTGAGGAGCCTGAGAACAAACAAAAAATCAGAAGGAAACAAAAGCGATCTAAGAAGGAGGCTGAAGAGGAGCCTGGAGCAAAGGACCAATCTGTGGAGCTGGTACTAGATCCTGTATCTGCTCCTTCAAAGGAAGTTCTCATGGTAGAAGTAGAGAATGTGGTTCATGAAGATTTTCAGATCACAGAAGAGGTTAAAGTAAGTGAATTAGTTTACAAGCTTGGACTTGTCCTGTAGAATTGTACCTACACTTCTTGCTTAAAAGGAAGAGTTCTAAAATCAAGCTCTAATTTCAGGCTGCAGAAACTGGTTCCTTCTTATAACAGTCACTGCACAAGGATTATCTGAAAGTAAAGAATTTTTGTTATAACAGCTCAGTTCCTTTGGACTGTTGACATCAAAAAGTTACTGAATGAAGAGGCTGGTCTGTGCTTATATGTGTATAATGACCTCTATCAAACTAAGTGTTTCCTCAAGGGTGGCTTGAGTGTTCAACTTGATTGTATCTTCTGGCCAAGGGCCAGTCAAATTCTGTGCATGCAGAAAGCCAGCCTATAGGCTTTGTTGCCTTTCCTGTGAGTAGGAACTGCCCCAGCACCAAGAACCATCACAGCCCACCACTGCAGTGAGTGGCTGGGGTCTGGGGAGTGTCATATTTGTACTGAGATCTTGCCTATCCTTTTCCATTCTTTTGGTGATTAAATTTGTTTTGTGTTTATAGGCACTTACTGCAGAAATTGTTAAAACAATCCGGGACATCATTGCCTTGAACCCCTTGTACAGGTATGTCTTTCCTATGCTGCCCTGCTTTAGGAACAGCATGTTCTCAGTCTGAAACATGCTGACATTTTCTATATCACTTGCCTTTCTGGTGTAATAAACTAGAGATTTTTGCTCAATTGTCACATAGATTTTTGGTTTGGGCTGTAAGCTCTATCCATTATTGGAATCAAAGTTTTGAAAACTGGATGAGCTATTTAGAAACAAGACAGAACAAAAGAACTATTAAGTCCTAAGGCAGGTGATCTGTGTCTAAGTGAAAGACCTGATCTGATCCACGTCATACAAGCAGGATAAAAGTGTTTGAATACTGGCACAAAAAAATCTTACATAACTGTTTGGAGAACATTTCAGATACTTAGGTATATTGGTATATTAGGTATTTTGGTGATTATTCCTCTAAACAAGTGATTTATCTGTTTGTTACTGTGCAGTTGTCTTGGTTTGAAAAAGACAGGTGTCTGCTAAGGAAGGCAGAGATTTCCCTTGAAATAAATAAAAATGTAAACAAACCCCCTTCCTCTCTGAAATATTATAATCTTGAAATTAAGGTGCTCTCAGACAAAGATATGGGAATGGGAATAACAGTTCTTTACTAAGGAAATTAAAAATAAAAATGCAGTAGTACAAAAAAAAAGCCAATAAAAAAACAACCCACTGACAGAGTCGGAATACAACCTGACACCCTGTTGGTCAGGGTGTTGGTAGCAGCGTGATTAAACAGTGGCTGCAGTCCTCCTGGAGTGACAGATGTGGTTCTGTTGAAGCAATGATCCTATAAAAGGGCATAATTTTCCTCTGAAGGTCCAGTGGTGGTGTAGATGGGTCTGATCTCTCCTCTGGGATCCAGTGGAGAAAGGCTGCTTGTGGTGTTTTGAGTCTCCAAAGAGATACAGGTAGAAATGCTTGGCTCCTCCCCCTGGCTGGAGCATCTCACAATGGGATTTGTGAGATTTTACACAAGTCATGCAGTGAGACTCAATGGCCCATTAACAGAAGATTAATGACCATCCCAGTTATGAGGGATGGGTCATGAAAGAGATGAAGAGCACTGCCTCAACTGGTTTCAGCAGATGGTAATAGAATACAAACTTTTGGTTATACCTTGCATTGCAACCCAAGACAGTAGTGATATAGTCAAATTTCAAAAACACTTTGCTGTGAAACTGAGCTGTTTCATTTTATTGTATTGTCATAACAAGCAAATTAACATACTCCATTTTGAATGTAAATTTACAGAGTATTTTGGGGTTTTTTACCTTTTATTTTCAGGGAGTCCGTACTTCAGATGATGCAGGCTGGACAGCGTGTGGTAGATAACCCTATCTATCTGAGTGACATGGGTGCAGCCCTAACAGGGGCAGAGTCACATGAACTTCAAGACATCTTGGAAGAAACCAGTGTAAGATGAAGTTTATAACTCAAGGGATGTGAATGAATCAGTACATCTGTTGTATGTCACAGTTTCTTTACCATCCTCTGTACAGAAGAGACTTTAGTGCTACTGTATCTGTTTTAGTTTAGGGTAAATTTGGAAGAGAACTTCTAAATGGGGTTTTCTCAGGAAAGCAAAATTCAAATGACCCCTCCCCCCAACTGGTTCAGGAAAAAGAGATTTTCTTGGAGAGAAGTCAAAAAAACTGTTTGTTTAAGAGAAATTGAATAATATTAAGCAATAAATCTTTTCACTGTTTGATGGGATGGCAAATCTAGGAAGAAAAGTGTTTTTCATGTGGTGTAGCTCGGCCTGCTCAAGTTGTTATCAGTCCCTCTGGCGCAGGATAGTGCTGAGTCCCAGGCCCTGGTGGGCCACAGGCGTGAGGTTTCAGGGTTTGGTTGGGTGTTTTTCAGTCTAGAGCAGGTTTCCACAGATTTAAGAAAAAAGGGAAAAAAGTCTAGGGAACTCTTTTGCTTCAGCTAGCTAAAACTAACTAAAAGCTAAAGAGAAGCTCTGTCCCGCTGTCTGTCCGTGCTGCAGACGCCACAGTCCAGGAGCAGGATGCGGAGGAGTGATGTTTTTTTCAACACAAACTGTGTGCTTCTTTTTTTCTTTTTTTTTTTTTTTTTTTTGCTCTTAGAGCCAGTTTTAAAGGTGTGGGACTTAATATATGACATAAACCAGGCGACTGGGGATACCAGTATCATAAAGTCACTCCAGGACAGCTACTTTTGATCATATGTTAATATCAGTGATTAAATTCCTGTTGAAGGATATAGTGAATCATTAGTACTGATTTACTGTGAGTAAATCAGAGTGCTCTACATCTTTCGTGGCAAATAATTTTCTTTGTGTGCTGTGGAGTAGCTACATGTTTGTCTTTCCACATCTGCAGGTGCTGTAAAGCTCTCCCAAACCTGTTGGAATTTTTTATTCTGCATTTCTCACTGGGAGGGATAAAGTGTGTGTGTGTATATATATGTGTATGTATATATGTATGTTATTTTTAATTTACACTTATATATGTGTGTGTGTGTGTGTGTGTGTGTTACTTTACAAAGGGTGGTGTGGTGTCTTAAAACTCATTTTGTGTCTATCTTTTCCAGATTCCCAAACGGCTTTATAAAGCTCTTTCCCTTCTAAAAAAGGAATATGAGCTGAGCAAACTTCAGCAGCGTCTTGGAAGAGAGGTAAGTTTCTAGAGTAACAAACACTGTGTATGTATATTTATATTGTGTCCACCACTCTGATGCTTAGTTTGGGTATGTACTCTAAAGGGTACATTATTTAGATGTAAGGGTTTTTGTTGTTCTTTCAGAAATGTGTTTTTTCATGCACATGGTGGAAGTAACAAGACATGAGGCTGCAGCATCTGCTGTTAAATTGTGTCCAAGTTGTAATTTCATGCAAGCAGATAAATGTACAGGTCTGCAGTTTACCAAGCATCTGTGTAACAATATACAGGCTAATACTGTATATCGCATGTACTAGTGTAGATACCACAGTGTTATTTCAAGTGACCCTCTGCTAACTCCTGTGAACTGCTGTAGCTCCTGTTTGTTGTAAGATTTAATCAGAGTACAGTAACTCCATCTAAATGGCAATGAAGTATGTGAAGTACAAATATTTGAGAATACTCCACCATATTTTGTTTGCTAGCTCCCCTTAACTGAGGCTTTTAGAATTCATGTCAATTGCAAAATGCTTTTGGACCAGGGTTGGAATATTTGGAGACTTCTTAAGTAAATTGAACAGATTCAGTCTGTGGGACCGGATACGCATCCAAGGATGCTGAGAGGGCTTATCAATGTCAATATTTTGTTTTTTTCACTCAGATTTAAAGCACTGTAGTCATGGGAGAGGTTCTGGGAAGCAGAAAAAGCTAAATGCCATGCCCATCTCCAGGAAGGAGAATCGGGGAGAGACTGTAGGTGTGTCAGCCTACCCCTAGTCCCTGGGAAAATTATGGGGAAAATTGTCCAATAAATCCTGTACAGGCTAATGAAGAAGGATATGATTTGGAACTGCCAGAAGGGATTTCAAACTGCCTAATTGTCTTCCCTGATGAGAAGGCCTGGAACACAGAAATGTGGGTTTAGTGGTGGGCTTAGCAGGTTAATCATTGGACGCAATGATCTCAGAGGTCTTTTCATACCTAAATGATTCTATGATACAACAATGACTTTTGTATTCCTTGACATTTGCATGGCCTTTGTTGAGGTCAGACATTCTGACTAAATTGGGATGTTACAGACTGGAAGTATTGTAGTATGAGGTTGGTGAAAATACTGGCTAGATTAATAGGTGGAAAAGGTTGTGATCAACCTAGTAAAGTCTAACTTCAGACAGCTACTAGTGGTATCCCCACAGGGAGTCGATAAGAACCTCCTTAAGTTCTGCCAAGAGAAATTTACATCCCAGAGCAAGCCTGGAATAATCAGGATAGAAAATAGTTATACAGCTTTTAAAGCTGTACGGACGTTGAAGCCCTGATGTGCAGGAAGCTCACCATGAATTAGTAGACTGTCCTTGTGGCAAGGAAGGCCAACTGCATACTGGGTTTCAGTTGTCCTGTGTAGGCAGCAGGTAGAGAGTAGTGGTTAACCCTCTCTGTTTGGTACTAAGGAGGTCACATCTGTCTTACTCTGTCCAGCTTTTGGGCTCCCCAGCACAAACAGAACATTGGAGCACTGAATCATGGCCAGTGAAGGCCACCAAGATATGGAGGGTGCTGGAGAATGTTGTTAAGTCACTTCTTGTGTTAGAATACACTGTAGATGAGTTCCAAGTAGTATTTTCAGTTGCTTGGAATGTCATAACTGAGAAGTATTTGGAAGTGTTTGATGTTAGATGGGCTATACCAGGAACATATTGGTTACTGCATTTGTTGCTTTGTCTAGGTTGAGGAGAAGATCAAGCAAACACATCGCAAGTATCTTCTTCAAGAGCAGTTGAAGATCATTAAGAAAGAGCTAGGTTTGGAAAAAGAGGATAAAGATGCTATAGAAGAGAAATTCCGTGAGCGACTAAAGGAGCTGGTAGTGCCAAAACATGTCATGGATGTGATTGATGAAGAGTTGAACAAGTTGGGCTTGTTGGATAATCATTCCTCAGAATTTAAGTGAGTGCATGGTCATATCATGCTATCAGGGTTTGTTGGGAGAGTGAAACATCAGTGCAGTTCTATGAAGCACTTTAGTCTCTCTCCTCTCACCTCTTCCTTTCTTTTGTCCTGCTATCCCTTTTCTGCCCTCCCCTCCCTGTAGCATATCCTTACATTATAGGATTTTTCTCCAAATGGTCTGTTTACTCATGTAGTCTACCTCTTTTGATCATTTTAGGTCTTCTGTCTTTTCCTGCAGTCTGATACTAGAGATAAAAAAAATGTGTGGTTAGTTCCTCATGAAGTGTGTGGGGATTCTTTTTCTGCCCTCAATTTTGGCTCTTCTTCCTTGTACTTTGGTGTCTTCAGTATATGTGAGAGGAGTTAATACATATTGGATAAGCTACCTGAGGTGGTCCCTGAAGTATTGGGGCAGGGTTGGAATTGCTAAGGAGACAATGAATAGTTTATAAAGTGTTCTGTAACGTGAATTGTGAAAAATTGAGGTTGAATTGAACATTTCTCAATTGTCTGTTGAGTCAGAGTGTGCTATACAATACAGCAATTGGTGTACTCCTCAGTTCTCTTAATGTTCTGCTTTTAAAAGTATCTTCTACAAAGTCAAAGACTGTGTTTGGGGGCAAACATGCCTTTGGATGAGCGGTGTCTTGGCAATCATAGAAGACGTACTGGGCTTCACGGCAAAGGCAGCATTAGTACCTCTCCCTTTCCTTCAGAGTTGTAACAGTGGTTGCAGATTTGCATAGGAAGTACTTGGGGAAAAAAAAGCCAAAGCTCTGATGGCATGGCAATTGCTATCAGGTGAATCCTGGGCCCAGACAGCCCAGCTGTGCTTCCCTGTGTCCATGACTGTGCACAACTTGATAGTTACTGCGTTGTGCAGACCTTTCTGTACACTTGAGTTCTTGATCTAAGTGCATAGTTTTAGAATAGTGAGTAGTGCTTTGACATAACTGTGTTCTCTTCAGTTTGTTTATGCTGATTATCCCTACTGTTAACTTCCATACTGGCATCATTATCTTGGTCTTAAATCTTTCTCTGTGGTGTTGTACATCCAGCTGTTCTGTCTTGCTTCTGAGCCAGGAGTCGTTCATCTCTACCATATCTTTAGTTTACTGTGGATACAGAAAACTTCTAGTTTTAAGTTTCATGACCTGATCTAAGTAGTTGATGTGGTGGAGATCATACAAGCAGTCCTGTTCTTTTTCAGACAGGAGCCAGCCCCACACCAAAGCAAGTGTACAAGGAAGTTGTGTGCTGAAATTTAAGTATGTCCACAGTATATTGGAGATTCTTGGTTTTAGAAAAGCAAAAGCTGTGAAAAAAAACTTTGTGGTTTTTGTGGGGGGAGGGACAAGGGATTGAAGACTGTGAAAAAGGTTAGTGGCGACTGCCCAAATAGTGATGCTCTTTTCATAGCCTCAGTTCCATGAGTAGTTTATATCCCACTTGTTCTTGATGAGGTTGTTTTGGAAAGTGGTGGAGAAATACATGAGCACTTCTATTTGTGTGTTTCCGTCAGTGTTACACGGAACTACTTGGACTGGCTGACATCCATCCCGTGGGGTAAGTGTAGCGAGGAGAACCTAGAGCTGGCCAGAGCCCAGGCGGTTCTAGAGGAGGATCACTATGGAATGGATGACGTCAAGAAGCGAATTCTGGTAAGGCAGGAGTAGGCAATGTGTCCCATTTCACACTGCTTAACATCAGGCATTTTGGATGTGTTTCAGATTGCAGTCTCCATTGAATTGCTGGTAATTCATGCATCAAACAGAAAGTTGCATGAAAGACCCAGATGATCAGTTAGTGTGCTTAATTACTTATGGCAACGAAGGTCACATTCTCATTTCAAACTGCAATATTCTGGTTTGCACTTAATGCTAGACAAGTAAGTGTCCCAGGGAAGCAGTCTCTGGATTTTTTCTCCACTTGCACAGTCATTTCTTCACTGTAAGTGTGTAACCAGTTGAGGCTGCAGTTCTGAACTGTGATCTTTTGATTGCTCAACTGTTTAGTGTTACTTGAGGGTTGTCTGTCGTAGAAGTGTGAAATGAAACAAGCTTAACTTAGCATATGGGAGTGGTAAAGTAGGAGATGCTCACATGTAGCTTGAGAGACTCAGGTGAGAACAAGGGAACTAGAACTCTGTCTTCTCACTCCAAGGCAGTGGAGAGAGAGAGAGAGACTACTTCTGGTGAGATGATGTAGAGCACAGAACCTGGGGACAGCCAAGCATGCAAATAACCAGAGTGAAAACAGATGCATCCTGATTTAGTTTCTCCCCTTGCCCTCCCCCAAGTCCTTTGAGGACCAGTTTTGTGTATGATATTTGTTTTGTAATCACTGCTTGACCTGATAACAAACGTGTTTTGCTGTTGCTCATATTCCCTTCTGTTCACTGGTGGTGCTTTATTTCTACAGGAATTTATTGCAGTCAGCCAGCTGCGAGGATCCACCCAGGGGAAGATTTTGTGTTTTTATGGTCCTCCTGGAGTTGGCAAAACCAGTATTGCTCGCTCCATTGCCAGAGCTCTAAACAGAGAGTACTTCCGCTTCAGTGTTGGAGGGATGACTGATGTAGCAGAAATAAAAGGACACAGGTCAGTGTAACTTGAGAAGTTTCTCTATGCAGCAGTTTCTACTAAAGTAAGTAGGTATCTAACTGAAGTTGGACAGTGCGTGTAATTTTCACCTCTGTTCTGCCAACCCTTGCTGACAGGACTTGAGATACAGAAAAAGGTGTGTGTAGCAAAGGGTGGAGTTTGGAACATAATTCCATTTGTGCTTTTAAGTGCAGTTGTGCCCTGTTTCTTGCGTATTGTCAGCTTTAAAAAGCTGAGTGAGCTACCTAAAACCATTGGTCTGATGCCAAATGCTAATACATGCCTGTCTGTAAATGTCAGAACTCGAGAATGGTAACAGTTTGAACAGGATCATTCACATGTGTGTCCAGGTGTGATGAAGACTTGGCTTCTGAATAATCAGGACAGAGATGCTGCATGAGGAAAACCTGGAAACAAGAACATTCATGGAGAGAACAAGAAGTGAATAAAAATTGGTAGATCTGACCCTTGCATAGGTTTATTTTCCTTCCATACATAAAATCTTAGAATGGCTGTTATTGGAAGTGATCTCTGGAGGTTGTCTAGACCGTTCCCCTGCTAAAGCACATTCAGCTACAGCAGGTTACAAAGGTGTCCAGACAAGTTTTGAATGTCTCTAGAGAAAGAGATCCCACAGCCTCTCTGGGCAGCCTGTTCCAGGGCTCTGCCTCCCTCAATGTACAGAAGTTTCCCCTCATATTCAGGTGGAACTTCCTGTGTTTCAGTTTGTGCCCATTGCCCTGTGTCCTGTCACTGGGCACCACTTGCAAGAGTCTGGCCTTGTCCTCTTGACAGCCACCTGTCAGATATTTTAACACATACTGGTAAGATCCCCTTTCAGTCATCTGAGAGCTAAACAGGCCCAGCTCCCTCAGCCCTTCCCATAAGAGAGGCTCCAGCCCCCTCATCATCTTCATAGCCCTCCACTGGACCCTCCTCAGCAGTTCCTTGTCTTTTTTGAACTGGCAAGTCTAGAACTGGGCACGACACTCCAGATGTGGCCTCACCAGAGCAGAGGAGAGGGTCTGCATCTGAACATAAAACCAGCAGTGTTTTCAAACCAGTAGCTGTTCTGTGGAGTAAATTGAATCTGCTGGTCTCTGCCCTACACAGAAGCAGAGAAGAATATTTTCTGTATTTTTCAGATGTTATCTATTCTGTGCATCTTGGCCTTCACTCTGTTGCTACCCTCTTTGCTTCTGCTTATTTCTGAATAACAGAAACAGTCTTTAGGAGGAAGATTACATTTTGCTATTAACAGTTTGTTCCTTTAGTATCTTTTGATTTACACTGGTCTTTTTGTCCCTATCAAGTGAGAAAGTGAAGTGTTACCTCTTCTAACATTTCTTACCCAAAACTCATGAAAATTCAAACATCTCTATTCTCAGCCTTTTCTCTATTCTCAAACCTTTTTGCTTTTCTCTAATTGAGAAGTGGTTTAAACTAAAGATAAAAACTGTAGTCCAGGAGTGTTTTGCAAAAATTCCTGTAAGTTCTTTACTAGAAACAGACCAGGTGGGTCTTGGTGCTTAATGTGGTGATGGAGAATGCTTTTGATAGATGTTGAAGAAATAAAGACTTGTTTCCCAGCAGGATATACTTGCTCTGTCAGCTGTGTGGTGTACGCTCTGATATGTGCTGTGCTTTTCAATGGTTCCCTAAATACAATCTCTGGTAAAACAGGAGGACATATGTTGGAGCAATGCCAGGAAAAATCATCCAGTGTCTGAAGAAGACCAAGACAGAGAATCCACTTATACTGATTGATGAGGTGAAGTATTTGGTCTTTCTTGTAGGTTTTGCTCTTAAAGACTTGTATCAATTTGTGATCCTCGTTAAAATGGTGAAGCAGTAACTCTCCTAAAAATCCCAGGTTCCTTCTGTTTATATGAGGCTGGGCTCTCAAGTTCTCTGGGTGACAATGACACCTTAGATGCTTTGTCTTAGAGGCTTTGTTTTCTCTCCTTATAACAGACTCCAGCTTTAAAATTCTAGTTGTGTCCTTCTGATTAAATTACAGCTGTTTGGATCCTAATGGACCTGGCTGGATATTCAGAATTTCCGTAGTTCTTTTGTTTCTTACACAGGTGTGGGCACGTCGCTGTGCACAAATCCACAATTGCCTATGTGATTATTAGCAATAGTCACTCTCTCAGTAGGTTTAAATCGGGCTCTGAGGAATAATGCTTACAGTCAATTTATGGTCTGATTTGAGAATAAATGAGTCAGGGCTACCAGCCTAAAGCTTTGTGGAAAAGCAAATAAGGACAGGATATAATAGCAGGTTTTTAGAATAGACTGAAGGTTGTTCTGGATTTCTTGTGTGCCATACCTGGGAAGGACCAACAGTGGATTCGTGAGAATGGTGTGAGTGACCAATAAACTGTCATCTGTTGCAGTGTGATGTAACCAATAAGTATCGTGATTTGAAAGGTAATGGAACCTGTAGGTTATGACACTTGAGTGGTGCTGGGCCCTGCCTTGGCTGTAGCAGCAAATTTCATTTAGGCCATCCAGTTAACACTACTCCTAAGGGAGAAGAAGCAGTGGCCCTGTTTGTATCCTCAGAAGGAGAGTTCGCAGTGCTGGAAGAGTCAATTACCTTGGCCATGGTCCTGGGCAGCTGGCTCTAGTGGCCCTACATGAGCAGTGGAGTTGGTCAAGATGACTTTAAGAAGTCCCCATGATCCTCAATCAACTTATCACTTGACAACAGCCCAGGTCACTAATCTGGCTCTGCTTGAATGGCTGTGTGTAGACTTTTTGCACCTTGGGCAGGGTAGGGAGAGTGTCGGAGCTTGCATATTAGGGAAGTGGTATAAGCTAGGACTCTAGTCCTCTCACTGTGGAATAAATGTTCTGGTCTGTGCCTATAGCTTATCTCAGCTAAACGAGTAGTAGCCCACTAGTAGTAGTGCTTTTTATTGTATGCACATTGCCTCAGACGTCATAGTTATTTTCTGCAACACTCAAAATTCCTGTGTCTTCTCAGGTGTGTCATGTGCTCACAAAGGAAGGTCCTGAAGTCTTGGATGAGTGCACAGAAAAGTGATAGACTGGTACTGGATGTTAATGAATACTCATGAAGATTATCAGATAGAGCCTTGGGAAAAAATCTTGCTTGAGAATTTATCGTGGTAGGAAACTTCTTAGAGTATTAAATTCTTTTCTCCCACAGGTAGATAAAATAGGAAGAGGCTATCAAGGGGATCCATCCTCGGCCCTTCTAGAACTATTGGATCCAGAACAGAACTCTAACTTCTTGGATCATTATCTTGATGTTCCTGTGGATTTGTCAAAGGTATTTCTCTTTTATGCAGAGGTTGTAGAGCCAGAATGTATGAATGTGTATCAATGTGGAGATTTCCTGTCCATGAAAAGATGCTGACATTTTACTCGGTTGGAAAGCCAGATGGAACATAAATGGTAATTTACGTTCCTGTCAACAGCTGTCTCTGCAGGAGTTGGCTTTAACTGAAGTGTCTGTACATGAAAGAACATGATCACCAGCCTATGTCCTGTAGCCTTAACTCCCTGTAGAGCCAGTGACAGACAGATGTGTGGTCTCCACTAGAAAAGGCAAGAGTTTTCCTGTACATGATGATTGGCAGAGCTGCTGTCAAGGGAGGTGGCGTAATGCTGCTATGAAGCTTTTGAAATTGGTCATTTTGACACACCATCGCACTTTTGGTGAAACTGACATAAATTGCAGAATTGACGTATTAGGAATATGTATAGATACTTGGGTCATTCTGTGCTAATTTCCTAGAAGGTAGAAAGAACTGCGTGAGATCTAGATCTACTGTTTTCTGGTCCCTATCAAACCATTCTGATTTCCCAGTTTGTGCGTTGTGTATTTCTAAACATTTATTTTTGGGGTAGGGAACATGCTATTACATAGCTCTAAAATCCAAACTTTTAATAAAATCTAATTCCACAGAGAGGTTAATCTTGCACTACCCCTTCAGACAGAGAAACGCAGAACTTAGGAACTAGTACTTGGAGTAAATCAACAGGTTAATGAAAGTTCTTGATAGGATCTTTTAATGCTTCCAGGTACTTTTTATTTGTACTGCCAATGTAACAGAAACCATTCCAGAGCCACTGCGGGATAGAATGGAAGTGATCAATGTGTCAGGATATGTAGCAGAAGAGAAACTTGCAATTGCAGAGGTAAGAGAAATCACTGTTGTGCCTTATGTGAATTACATCTGGTAAATTTTTTTCGGCATATTTAGGGTTATATATTTACATCCAACTGTGTCCAAAAAAATTAGGCACATGGTATTTTGGACAGAGTTCCTTTGATTTGAACACATAGTTAAAGTAATTCTAGTGTTCCATAGGCTGTGGACACCAGAAAGCAGCATTGAGCTAACAGCAGAAAGTTGAGTAAATTGGAACTGCTAGGCCTTTTGTCACAAATACTAAGAGAAAGATTTGGGCGGGTTATTTCTTTCAGAGATACTTGGTCCCTCAAGCACGAGTTCTGTGTGGCTTGGATGAAAACAAAGCTCAGATCACATCAGATGTCCTGACTCTTCTCATCAAGCAGTACTGCAGAGAGAGTGGGGTGAGGAATCTACAGAAACAAGTAGAAAAGGTGAGGGGAAGTTATGTTGTAACTGTGACCACTGTGCATCAGCCTTCTCAGCTTTTTCTACAGAGATAAATTACTGTCTCACCCAGGTATTGAGGAAATCTGCCTATAAAATCGTGAGTGGAGAAGCAGAGACAGTCCAAGTAACACCGGAGAACCTGCAGGATTTTGTAGGAAAGCCCATCTTCACTGTGGATCGCATGTATGAAACCACTCCCCCAGGAGTTGTGATGGGTCTGGCTTGGACAGCTATGGGTGAGACAAAATTAATTTTGGGTTAATTTGTACATTCCTGTGTAATTTCCAAAAATTGAATGTAATAGTCAAACAGAACTGAATCCAGTGACGTTCTTCTACAGGCACCAGTGAAAGGAACTTCCTTTGGCCTCTGGATCCTGAATACTAGTTCCTTGCAGAAGGGAGACTTTCTTATGCCCTTACTCAAGTTCATCTGAGCTTGGAGTCAGCATGTTTTCTCTTTAAGCTCCTTATCCCATACAAATGACATACATTAGGAAAATCAGCAGCAGGGGGTGTCAGTGTGACACGTGACACAGCTGAGGAATGCTGTGTCTCCTCAGTGATGTGCAACACTGACTTGACTTCTGGTGTTGAAGGCAAGTGTGTTCCAGCACTCCATGGAGTGTGTGCAATTGGCTGCTTACTGTTCATTAGATTACTCCCCTAGTAACTTGGGGGCATATGTGCACTACAGGATGGAAATACAGCACACAGCAAAGGAGATGACCTCTTCATACTCAAACTGACCCTGGGTAGAATTAAAGTAGTTAAGAAAGAAATTATTAGTATGATGGAGAAGGTAAATAGATACCTGGCACTTGAGAACTGAAGTGGCTAAAAGTGTTTCATGAACTCGGCTTACTCTCTGGAGGAAAAAAAGAACATGAAACCATTATCAGAACTTGATTCCATTAAATAGGGGTTGCATCTGTATTCCTAGAAGGCGAAGTCCAAATAAGTAATGAGTGGAGATTGTTGAGATTTCTAGCTGGCCTTCCTGAAGGTATTTAAGGAACAGGTTTTAGTTGCTTACTACTCAAGGGCTAGTGTCTCATCAGAGAGCATCAGTTCCAAATGCCTGACACAGCTTCTGCATTACCAAAACCTTCTGGTTAAATTTTCCTTTAACTTTTTTCAGAAATTGTTTTTCTTTTCTTTTTTAGGAGGTTCCACTCTGTTTATTGAAACATCCCTGAGGCGACCCAAAGACAAGGAGAACAAGGATGGGTCACTTGAAGTAACAGGGCAACTGGGAGATGTAATGAAAGAGAGTGCCAAAATTGCATACACATTTGCAAGAGCCTTTCTGATGCAGAAGGACCCCAACAATGACTTTCTTATGTCTTCTCATATCCACTTGCATGTGCCAGAGGTAAACTGATGCAGAGTTCACAGCGCATGCACAGCAGCCCAGCTGGTTTGCTTCTCTAGATGTAAAGCTGGAACATACTTCATTTGTCCATATGTTGTCCATATGCCCTCTTCTAACAGTAAAATGCAGGAATTTTTCTTCAGGCTCTTGTGAAGGTCTTCTTATGAGCTATGTTTCCATTCCTTTCTACAGCAAGTATGTGGCAAGAATACAGGGGGCTTGGATAATTTTCTAAAGAAACCTAAGCTTTTGTGGTAGCTGTTGGCTCTGTTGTGCATGACATAGAGATAAGTGATTTGGCTAAATGCTTGGATGAAGTTACAAGGACATAAAAATTTAGGTCTCTGTGTTACCAGGCCTTGTTAAAGGCTTCAGGTCATTTACACGTAATTGAAAATACTGCTTCTGATCTCTGCCATGCTTCCTAGTCCACATAATGGCAGTGATTGCAGTTGTCCAGTATTTGGGGCTGAAAATAAATGCACACAGTGCTCAGAGTGGCTCACATGCTGTATAACAAGCTTTGGGCAGATGCTTTACTTAAGACAGATTTTGAGCTGTGATTGTGCCCCAGCCTTACTTCTGGACTCCTGAGTGCTCTGTGTGCAATGTCTTTGTTGCAACTTGCTCTCTATGTGTCCAGGTACTGCATTGTTGTCTGTGAACTCATTTCCTGAAAGACGAGAAGACAGAAGACATTATCTCTGTCTCTACTCCCTCTCAAACATTGATTTCCTCTGCTCTTGCCTCAAAGAGGTTTTATCTCAGTTAAATCCAGACTATCACGCCTGGATTTTGTGGGGCTTAAATACTGATCTTTTCTACCTTGAGTGATTTTTGGTGTTGGCTTCCACTACTTTGTGACTCTTGACACTCTCCCCCTTGTGATGTTGACTTCTGTTGCTTGTTTCCATGGTTGGCTTAGGTCTAACAAAGAGCTTCTAAGTGTTTGTGCTCTTTTTTCCACTGGTGCTGCTTACTCAAATACCTGAGCCCAGGGAGTATAGTGATGGCATCAGGCCAGAAACCACATTGTAGACTCATGGATTATGCCTCATGAATAAGGTGAGGAATGCCAGTTGTTAATACATCAGGCAATTCAAACAGCAGCATTCCATCACTCGCACATACAAAAACCTTTGAGAGGCTTCATGAAATTTGGACCATGTTAAAACAACAAGGACAAGGGTACTGTCTGGCTATGCTGCTTCTTGAATGAGCAGGGGGGTTGTGCTTTGTGTTTTTTAAACAGGGAGCAACCCCGAAGGATGGACCAAGTGCAGGATGTACCATAGTAACGGCTCTGCTATCCCTGGCCATGAATTGCCCAGTGAGACAGAATGTGGCCATGACTGGAGAAGTGTCATTGACTGGAAAAATTCTTCCTGTTGGTGGAATCAAGGAAAAGACTATTGCAGTAAGAGCTCTTCTCTTGTCTCTCTGCATCGTCCACAGGAGAGCCGTGGGTTAGGCTCAGTGGGGACAGGGACAGCCAGAGGGGCTGCTCCTTGAACTAGGAGAGGCAGATTTCATTCCATACACAGCCTGAATAAAGCCTGCAAGGGAACATGGGGATCTTGAGTGTGTCCTCTGGCTGTGAGGAAAAGGATGGGACCCCACGCTTTATGCCAGGTCATCTGTGTTGGCCTAGTTCAATTCCACCTACACTGGCAGAATTGAAGGTGACTGACAGCTTTAACTGGCTGTCAGAGCTCTCTGCTCTTTCAGACTAGCACAGTTCAATCACCTGTGCTGTGCCGAATTGCCTGTTTCAGGAGGGCATCCAGTGGAGATTTGACAGCATCTCTAAGGTACATTCTTGAAATCAAGGCTCTGTTCCCTAGAATTCCAGTGTGAATCTTTTATACAGATGTCTGTTTTAGATAAAAGGAACTTAGTGTCTTGTATTTTTTGAGTTTTCAGAATTCCTTTCCAAGTGTTCAGTTACTTTTCAGCTGTACAATTCTGGCCTACATAAGCCTTGCACCGCACACATTTTTTTGTCAAGAATGTTATTAGGTCTTCCTCCATTGAGCTGGGGCTTCATATCAGAGTTCTGTCCCCAGATATATTTGGGCTACAGCCTTGTGCGCTGTGATTTCTTTTCTTTATATGACTTGAAAATGAGTAGTAGTTTGTAGCAGTCAGTACAGCACTAACCTGTCTTATGGTACTGATTGGCTGCACTTGCAGGAGTGTGAGTGGTCACAGGCCTAAACACAGGATCACCCCTAAAGCAATGGGTACAAACCTGTCCTGGGAGGAGCAGCTCTGCTTTCTGTGCTCCCTCCAGAGAAGGTTTCCCTATCAAAAGGTTCTGTAGAATTGTGCTGAAGTTATTGAATGGGATAGGTTGGTCGGACCAGTATGTTTCTAACTCTTGCTTTCATCCTAGGCTTTATCCTCACCCAAGGTGCAACAGATACTTAAAACTCTGTAAAAAAGTACAAATGTTCTAAAAAATCCCCTGAGCTGCTGACATAGTCCAGTTAAAATGCCTCTCCTTCCACCTGTCCCTGCAGCTGAGATGGCACTAGAGAGTGTGTGTTTTGGGGCTTCAGGGGGGATCTAGAACATGCATCACCCTGGTGATGTCTATCAGGAATGCCCTGGGTGCTCTCCAAAGAGAGTAAAGCTGGATCATGCTCTTGCTTCCAGAAACGGGTTAGGGTGTTTCTGGTACATGGAAGGAATCCTAGGACTCAACAGACAAACTTTTTCTCCCCACAGGCGAAGAGGGCAGGTGTTAACTGCATCATTCTGCCATCAGAGAACAAAAAGGATTATTATGACCTTGCTGGATTCATTACAGAAGGACTGGAAGTGCATTTTGTGGAGCACTACAAAGAGGTATTTGATATCGCATTTTCACAGCTGGATCTCACTGGACGATGACAAGCTGTGCTCTGATGGCTGGAAGGTGTTCTGTCCCTAAGCACTCAGCCCCCACCTTGAGATGGGTGACCAGGGCAATCCTTAAGTGGGACATAAAGTTATTGCTGCTGCGCAGCTGCCAAAATTATGGCTCTGCTAGAATAAAGTATTTCTCAGTCTTTAATACTGAATTATGATCTACAATAAAGGATTTCCAATTTTGCCAAAGGAATGGGCATGTTATCAGCCACCAGCAGCGGGGCTAGTCTGTCTGTTCTCATTGAATATGTTTCAGCTATTTCACTGTAAGTTTTCATATGGCTTGTGGAAAAGGACTAAACAGTACACCCAGAGGTAGGCTGATGTACAGCTGTTATTCCTAATGGAATAACAGCAAGTATTATTAATATTTATTAATAAAGGCAAGTAGCTCTCAGTATCTTGTCTCTCTGGGCTAGGCTGAAAGGACACTGAAATCCTAAAATAGTTCAGCACAGCTGGTAGGTACATTCAGCTGATAAAGGTACCTGGTTCTCCAGGTTCAGTCACCAGGTCAATACCACCAGAAAGAACTCCAGGCTTAAAGAGAACAGATGAGGGCCAGCAACATGCTCAATATCACCAGTCAGCAGCACTGTGCTGCATCACAGATGGCCTGTGTCTCTTCAGCAGCTCTATCATATTGAGGGAGTGAGAAAAGGAATTATGTGTCTTGACATGACTGTTGTGCATCAGTGAACACAGGCTTGGGGACCAGAGAACTTGAATACTTCGTCTTCCAATGAATACTAAAACGAATGTAAAGAAGGGAAGAGTAAAAGCATGAAGTCCAGTTGAAAAGTATTTTCTCAGCCAAGAACAGCTCTTGTCATCTCACAGCAAGAGAGCCCTTAGGGGAGAATAAAGAAGCTACCAAAGTCTAGGGAGCTCTTGCTGACTCCAGGTATCTTTCATTACTTGGTAACACACTGCAGAAGATGGGCCTGAATAGAGGGTACAAGGGGAAACACAGGTGCAGGTTAAGCTTCATGAGGAATGGGCTGATGTGCCATGGGGAAGAAGTGCAAAGCAGTTACTATTTTCAACAACCACTTTTTTCCCACTTGACTTTCCTCCTACCACCACCTAGGTCTGAAGACAGACTAGGGAGGTGTAAGGCATTACTCCAAAGATTTCCACATCCCGAGACTGCACATAGTCATAGAGGATTCCTCTCTAGGGTAAGTCACAGCAGCACCAGTATCAGCATCTCCAGCTGCAGATACAATAAACCACTGACCCAAATTCTTGATGGCTGAAGTTCAGGACCTTGTCAGCATTCCCCAGCAGCACACACTGAAATAAGTGTACCAAGAACACTCACAACCCTGGTTTTGGGAGAAAGGACTTTATTGTGTTGCAGCCTGTGCAACTCAATCCTTCTTTGCAGCAGCTTTCCTCATGGCTGCCAGGACATTACTGAGTTCCTCCCGCTTCCTCTTGGCCCGAATGTGAGTGCCAACCTGCAGGGACAGAGCAGAGCTGTCAGTTTTTACCCAGTAGAGACTGGACAAACTGGGACTGCCACAAGTGTCACTGCTGTCACACCTCAAAACCAGGCAGAATGGTAAAGTGGTAAGATGGACTTGACCTCCAGCCAGGACTTTGCCATCATGTCTCAGCAGTACCTCAACACAGTTATTTGGTACACAAAAGGGGCTGCTTTCAGCCCTCATAACCACTACAACTCAAGGAACCCCATTTGAGGCCTCCTGGTTAATAGCACCCAACCTCAGTGCTGCTCCCATCTTCCCCACACCAGACATGCAAACCATGGAAAAATAACATGACAAGCCTGAATCCTGGAATTCAGGGCCTTATTGACAAAGTGTCTTTGCATCCATCTCCTGCTCTCCTACCCACCCCCCAAGGAATATTCTCTCCATCCACTGTATTACACCAGTGACTTCCGAAACAAATGAAAAAAACAAAGGTAATTAATTAATTAAAGCCAAATATTCCTAGGAGAGGGCAGAAAACAGGCACAGTAGTTTTTGCCATCATTTTTAATTGATTGACCCACCCGCTTCTTGATGAACTTCAGAGCACGTTTGTCCTTGGACACTTTCAGCAACTCCATTGCACGTCGTTCATAAGGTGCAAAGCCACAGACTTCCCTGATCATGTCTCGCACAAACTTGGTGTGTTTGGTCAGGCGCTGTGGGAAAGGAGGGAGGACACAGGTTTACAAAGCACTTACATGCTGGTTGATGCAAAGGGGACTCCAAGGGGCTGTGGCATACTCTCAGCTAGGCCTCAAAACAAGCCCATTCCTGGCGTGTCCCAAGAAAACTCTCTCTGGCAGATCCTGCAGAGCACGTGAGCTTGGCCAGGTGTGCCAGATCTTTCTTCAGGTGCGGGTCCGGATGTGCCACAAAGTGGTATGGACCAGCAGTTTTAGAAAAAGCAGGACCATAGCCAGGGTTTGCACTGCAGCACACGTCGGGCACCGCAGCTACACAAAGCGTATAATAAGAATAAACAATAGACCCAGATGTATTCATGTCCCGGAACATGCATTTATCGGACCTGTATACATATATACTAGTACGGAAATTCCGGGCAGTTTTGTAAGGGATTGCCTGTTGTTACCAAGCGAAGCAGAGTAAGAGAGGCTCTCAAAGGCACACAGCTTTCACACCCCGTCCCTCCCCGGCCGAGTCCACCGGCCCTCCCGGCCCTGTTCCGTCGAGCCCCGTCCGCCCCGCAGTCACGGGCAGCGCGCGGGTTCTGAGCCCTCCCATCTCTCCACAGCGAAAGCCCGGAGCACCAGCGCCTCTGGACGGGGCCGGAAGCGGTAGAGGGCTCCGCGCCGGACACACAAACACAACCGCGCTGCGTACCGAGGGCAGCGGGCCCGTTCGGCCGCCGCGAGAGGCGGGCGCGGGGCACCGCGCGCCAGCAGTCTCATACTCACCCCGCGACGGCGACACTGCCGGGGCTTGGACACATTCTTGGTCACCTTG